ACCCCACTTGTGGGAAATGGTGCAGGAATTTACAGCATTGTTGCTAATCAGGCCTGGCCATAGAGTTTGCGAGGCCCAAGGCAGCCAGCTGACAGTGGCTACGCCGCGCAGACAGGGCAGTGAACAAGTGGCTGGGTGGGCGGGCACCGGGCAGCGCAGGGCCCTGAAGGCGTGGGGCCCAAGGCAACCGCCTTGCCCTCGGGCCAGGCCTGTTCCTAATTGCCTGCACTCATCCCCTTAAAAAAACAAACATACAGAGTCTTTGCCCCATCTTGCATGCCCAGCTCCTCCCCAGCTGAACACACCCGGTTTGGACTGCTTGCCAAGGGCCAGAGAGAAAGGGGTTTTGTTGAGTGACAAGGGTGTATTTTACTGTAGTGAGTCAATGCTCTGCCCAGACAAGCAAGCATGCTTCTGTGCATTGTTTCTGGTGCTTCCGCGGACGTGGCTTTCAGGGGAACCCCTCACACCAGCTGAGCGCCTCTCCCAGTTAAGGAAGCCACAGCGGCAGAGCAAGGACCTGTTCCAAGAGGTGCTCCAGTCTTCGGAGGCCAAAAAACCAGGACCAGTTCGATCCAACGAGCCCAGAAGGAGCCCAGCTGCGCCGTGAATACCAAAAGCAAGCCGGTGTCGCTTCTTTTGAGGGCATGCAGCAGATCAGGCAATCCCTCCTCAGGCTGGAGTTCATCACGCACAGATCTCCACAGGTCTCCACCGCAGTGGCCCTAGCCGCGGAGAGCATCCCTTCCAACAGAGACGGCAGGCGCACTGGGGCAATCGATAAATGCCGCCAAATACCGTCGGAACAAGCACGTGGCATGCTGGGACGGAAAGAACTGCATTATGGGACGTTGAGCTGGCACCCATGATGCACTGCGATCCACTCCTCCTTCCCACCCCTCCTGGCTGCAGCAGGGGGAGAGCTACCCCAGGGCACCCCCCTCACTGCCGACGCTACACCCCACGCGTGGGCGTGCGCTGCTGACAAAAGGAGCATCGCGGGTGACCGTGCACAAGTAGTAGGACCATAGTGCTTATGTTGGGCTGGGTTCGCCATGTTCCAGGCCTCTGGTGGCTCTTTAAAAGGGCCTGAGGTTCCTGGTCGCCACCCCAGCAGCAGCAGCGACCGGAGCCCCGGACCTGTTAAATTGTTACCAGAGCCCTGGACTGCAACATGCAGGAGGGACTGAGGGCTGGCGGAGGGAGGCTAGCCCACAGCCCCACACTTCTTTCTGAGGGCCCGCCCCTTCCAGGGGGCCCGGATCTGACCCCACACACACCTTGTTTAGGGCCTGGCAAAGTCTGTCTCCAGCCCTGCCCTGTCAGGGGTGCAGCCCCACCCAGTGGCTGGGG